TGTTTATTTATTTTTTCTTAAAGATATCAATGGTCTCCCTAATCTTCAATTTATTCGCCAAAAGAGCATATCTCTCGACGAGTGGAATGCAAGCATGTCAGAAGTTGTGATAGGACGAGACAAGAGGGTAAGAAATAGAGGGGCCAGGACAGAGAGGTGATAGTAAAATTGTTTCGGCAGAACGTTGGTAAAGCATTTGAGTTTATTTGCCTCTGACGAGTTGTAGTTTGGTGTGTAGAATAACAAAACTCACCGACGATGCCGGCGAAACGTCTGATGACGCATTAAGTCCACGGCCTGAATCTGGAAAGTATCATTTAAACTATGAATTCCTAACAAGATGCGTTATTCTAGGTCTTCCTGCCAATATGACCAAGTTGCAAAAATAAGGTCAGACAACTGCACTATATTAAATTGTTTTTACAATGTAAAATACCTGGTTTGTGGCCTCCATATGGCTGCGCCTTTCTTCAACTCGGCGGCGGCGTTCTTCGTCTCGTTGACGCATCTCCTCTATACGCCGCTTTCTTTCCAATTGCTGCTTAAGACGCAACTCTTCTGCTTGACGTTGAGACTCAAGAAATTCTTGGTAAATACGAGCCTGTTTCTGTTCTTGTGCAGCACGAACGCGGCGGAGACGTTGTTCTCCGGAAATGCTAGCTGGTCCTGAGCCACTGTGCATGGAACTATCCCCACCGAAGCAGCAATCCAATGCAGCATCATTAAGGCTCTCACCTTCAAGAAAAATGATAAAAATAGAGATTATAATACAAATATATAAATCATGCATACTAAAATTAATGGATTACGACCCGGAAGGAATTATTCATATATATGTATATATATATGGAGATTAAAATAAAATGAAAAAACAAGCCTTAATCAAACAATAGGCAATTTCAAGTCACAATTGAGAAAAAACGCTAGCGTGCAAGCAAATGTGAATAAGATGAATTAGGCAAGTGGAAAAAACAGTGGAAGCTCATTAATAGGAAGCCGGTAACACTAAAATGATGAATTAAGATTTAAAGTTACAATGACCTTCAATACAAAACGTTACTTATTAGGTTAGTTTATAGCCACTCATAAAACTGCT